TCAATGTTTCTCTCTCTATCCCACTCTATCTGAAGATAAAAAATATCAAGCACATTGGCCACACTTGTTTATAATAATTTTTGTAGCCAACAAAACAGTAAGAATTACTAACCAGAATTCCATATTACTAGTACTGATTATTTTATTTAATACCATAATAATTGATTTTTGCAAGTTATGTATCTTTATTCTGCAATTCAAAAAGATCAGTACTTTGTCCTGAAGAGATTCATCTCTTGTACATTTATAAAATACCCCCATATATAACAATACTTGGAAGTAATAGATTACATGAGAATACTGTTTTGAACTACTTCAGAGAACAAATTTTTAGTATGCAGGGCTGAGTTTACATAATGATCAGTCAATGAATGCCTCCTTGATCTACAAATACTCTCCACACAATGCCATACAATCCAAACGTTTGTTTTTTTTTATCCTCACCCGAGGACATTTTTTTGGCATTTATCTTCAGATAGAGAGCGGGAGGGAAAGAAGAAGAGAGAAAAACACAGATGTGAGCGACATATCCAGTGGTTGCTACCCACATGACCCCAACCGGGGCCAGGGACAAACTGCAACGGAGGTACGTGCCCTTAGCGGAAACCGATCACGGGACTCTCTGGTCTGCAGGCCGACGCTCTAACCGCTTAGCCAAACCGGCCAGGGCCAATCCAATGGTTTTAAAATACCACCCATATGCTGAGATGATTATCAAATCTCCAGCCAGAATTCTTATACCCAATGCAGATTTATTACTCAAATGCCTATTTAACATCTCCTACTTGGATGTTTAATAGGTATACCAATCTTAACATGTCCAAAACACACTCATGATTTCTGCCCTACATCTCACCCCTGCCCCAAATCTATTCCTCCCTCAGTCTTTTCTATTTTAGTGTTAAGATAGCTCTTTGTACACTCCAATGACATACCCCTTATTTCTGATATTTGAAAAAATTAATAAGCACGCCTCCATGTTAAGGACTTTGCACTTGCTATTTTTTCTGACTGGACCATCATTCTACCACATACACACAATTTAACACCCTTCAAGCCTCTGCTCAAATGTCATATTGGAAACATCTCTCTTAACTTCCCTCATCTGAAATAGCACCATTACCATCTCAATCACTCTCAATCCCCTTAGCATGAGCTAAAGGAAAAACCACTAGCTTCTACATATGTTAGAGAGCAGTTTAGCTAGTGCCAAATCTTCAGCAAAGAATATAAAATAATCCTCTAATTAATATAACAGGTGCAAGCAACTCCACACTTCCATGTATTTTCCCATCTCAATATTCATTGCATTTTATACTATTATGAAATTATATCTTACCCACAAGACTGAAAAGCAAGAATCATTTTCTTACAGTGTAATTTACTAGCATCTGATTATTACAGATTAAATTTCTTGAGCACTTAATATGTAGTAGGCACTGTTCTAAGTGCTTTAAATGCATTAACTCATGTAATCCTCACAATGAAGGTATTAGAGACCATCTTCATTCATCTCCATTATATAAATAAGTAAAAGACATAGATGAGATATTTGCCTAGGGTTTTAAAGGTAGTTAAGTGGTAAAGCCAGGATTCAAACCAGGTCCAGACCTTGTATTCCTAATCCTTATGCTACACTACACTTTAGTTGGCTAATGAGATAGAGAGCCAGGGAGAGAGGGCTTAGTTAATGTAATTAGAGAAAGACTCTCTGAGGAGGTGAATAAGCTAAAAACTCAATGATATAGAATTGAGTGAAGTGACTATCTCAGTGAAGAGTGTTCCAAGGCTAAGAAATAGAACTTAGAAATGGACTAAGAAAGGAATAAGAGGGAGGGAAGGAGAGAGGGCCAAAGGGTCACAAAAGTCAGGGTGCTAAATAAGCAGAGAAGTGTTAGAAAATGGGGTTAAAGAGATGGGGAGAGGTCTGAGGTTGGGGTCTCACAAGGTAAGGAGTTTGGTTTGATTTCAACAACAATGGGAAGGAGCATTAGACAAGAAAGTGCTGTAACTGAAAGGATGAGAGTCCTACCCCAAAAATTACTATTGAGGATTCTTAGAATTATTCCTCTTCACCTAAAGGACCCTATGATCTTTTGGGAGAGCAATAAGGTTTGTTACTGCTCTCAGTAAGATGACAAATGGAACGATAGGACAGGGCCACATGACCCTGGCTAAATTCACCAAGAAAGATGGCAAAGTTGAACCACAGGACCAAGAATATCCTTTGTAAAACAGTATAAGTTAGCAGTAGCTACAGTGTTACAGTACCAAAAGCAAAGCAGCACTGCTGATGGATCACAGAGTGCTCAGCGCCATTTTGTGGGATAAACAGAAGAGAAGAAAATCCACCAGAACTAAGAAACCAATCATTTGAGCAACTCCTGAACCCTTTTAGAGAACAGTGGCTATGTATACCAGTGTTGAAGGACTCCCTAGGACTTACTTTACAAATGCATATTTAAGAAAAGGGTGCTCTGTCTGGCCAGTGTGGCTCAGTGGTTGAGCATGGACCCACACACCAAGAGGTTGCCGGTGCAATACCCAGTCAGGGCACATGCCCAGGTTGTGGGCAAAATCCCCAGTGGGGGCATGCAGGAGGCAGCCAACTGATGTTTTCTTTCATCAATGTTTCTCTCTCTCTCTCCCTCCCCTTCCTCTCTAAAACCAATAAAGAAACAAAATTTTAAAGAAAACGGTGCTCAGCATGCTATCATAGGGATCACATTAGGCCAAATAAATGGTATATTTTGCTATTTAAATATACAGCACAGGGCTTCTATTAGGAAATATCCAAGCTCTATCACCAGTTGGTACAGTGACTGTGGAAACGGGACTTGAATTCTAAGGGCATCTGTTTCCTTATTTGTAAAATATAATAAGCATTTCAATTCTTAAATACACATGCACATACACACCCCAGGACTCTTCACTTTTAGTACAAATCAAAGATTAGAAAAAACAGTTAAAAAACTATGGACTGGTCTGGCATTGTACTGGAAATATATATTGAGATATAAATATAAAAATAAGCAAATAATATATTTTAGTATTTTAAAAGTGAACTGACAAGTATAATAAAATGAAATCAATATGTAGTTAAAAGGGACAAAACTAACAAGTTTTTGGGCTAGATGTCAAATGTTTATGTATACAGATTGCCAAATAACTATATATTAAATTTTGAGGGTATGTATATAGGGAGTATTAGTTAAAAATATAACAAGGATACAAAAAACTCTGGACTTCCCATTAGGAGGCTCGAGTTCTAATTGGCTCTTCAATTACTCTACAATATTCAATGCATCAATTATTTGAGTCTCAGTTTTACTCACTATAAAATTACACAGCGAGGTGACCTTTAGTCCTTAAATTCCGTATACTCATAGTAGGCCATGATTTGGTAGAATGTCTTTTATCAAGGCAGGTTAGACATATTAATGGGTAGTAAATGAGACCTACAGAGGGCATCAGTCAGTATCTAACATACTTCCATGTTACATATAAGGAGTTATTATACACCTTCCTTTCAGAGTTTTTAAAATAAAAATACTCAAATGTAGCCATGGCCAGTTTGGCTCAGTGGTTAGAGGGTCAGCCCGTGGACCAAAGGGTTGCAGATGTGGTTCCAGTCAAGGGCACATATCTTGGTTGCGGTTCAGTCTCCGGCCCTGGTCAGGGTATGCGAGAGGCAACCAGTAGATGTATCTCTCTCACATAGATATTTCTTGCTCTCTCTCTCTCTCTCTCTCTCTCTCCCTCCTTCCCTCCCACTCTGTCTAAAGATACATGGAAAATATCTCCAGGTGAGGATTGAAAAAAAAAGAGGTGACTGTAACTTCACAAGTTGAAGGATGGGACACTTAAATTAAAAAACAAAACAAAACTCAAATGTGGGGAGTCAACAGGAATAAATTAGTTGTTTTCCACATTGACGTTACTTTCTCAGGAATAACTACTACCAGTGCTTTTTTTTTTTTTTATAGGATTCTATACTTCATTCATTTCCATGCTTAGGTATTAAAAAAAGAGAATGTCTTACCTTTTATTATTTATTTATTTTTAAAGTTTAATGAAGACTCTTTCAAGGTTTTTTTTTTTTAATCCTCACCCGAAGACATTTTTGCATTCATCTTCAGATAGAGCGAGAGGGAGAGAGGGAGGATGAGAAAGAGAGAAACATCGATGTGAGCGAGACACATCGACTGGCTGCCACCCACACGACCCCAACCAGGGCCAGGGACAAACTGCAACCGAGGTTATGTGCCCTTAGCAGAAACCGAACCCGGGTCTCTCTGGACCGTGGGATGACGCTCTAACCGCTGAGCCAAACCGGCCAGGGCTCTTACACACCTTTTAAAATCAAGTATTGAAGTTAGAAAACAGGGGCTGTCAAAATCATCTCTAATTGATACTATTCTTGCATGAAACAGGGTGATTTTTTTTATTGTTATCTATTATTTTGTTGAAAGTTTTACAGATGCCCCCCCACCTTTTCCCCATTGACCCTCTCCGCCCTGCTCCCACCCACCTCCTGCTTTCCCCAACCTAATGTCCATTGGTTGTGATTCTTTTTTATCTTCACCCGAGAATATTTTTCCGTTTATGTTCAGATAGAGTGGGAGGAAGGGAGGTAGGGGAATAGGGAGGGAGAGGGAGATTGAGAGAGAAAGAGAGAGACAGAGACAGAGAGACAGAGAAACATTGATGCAAGAGAGACACATCCATCAACTGGTTGTCTCCCAAATGGCCCTGAACACGGCTGGGACCGAACCACAACTGAGGTATGTGCCCTTGATTGGAATCGAACCCACGACCCTTTGGTCCACGGGCTGGCACTCTAACCGCTGAGCCAAATCAGCCAGGGCTTCAGGGGGATTAAAAAAAAAAAAATTAAATATATCAACCAAAATCAACAACATAAAAAACTAAAGCTATAAAAATAACTAAAGTTACAGAGGTCACATTTGCTCTGCTTTCATAAGAGTTTTTCTCCTTACCTGATGAAGAACTTCCAGGGTAACAGGGTAAAAGAGGTTTTCAATAATTATTCGGAGCACAGGGCTCTGCCCAGTTAGCATTGTGCCTTCATTGGTAGGAGCTCCAGGAAGGGCCAGACTTCCCGACTGGACAGCACTGACAGCCTGCAGTGCAGCTTGGGCTCTCTATAAACAAACCAAAATGAGAACATTTGGTTACACAGAAGCAGTATGTTAGTCCTAAAAATTAGTCAATGTAAAGTAACATAAAGTAATATAGTTAAATAAAACCAAACATATCTACTCTCCCTGAATGCACATATCCTAAATTTATAATTAGTCAAGAGTAAAAAAGACTTACTTTTTTTTTTATCACAATATGTAAGAAAGTTGCTTCAGTTTACTTGAAGAAATGAAAAAATACAGGGCAAAAAATAAACCAACTCAAAGAAAAATTTGAATATGATTTTTATTCAAAAACTTTAAATCAAGTTCCAGAAGTGGAGCAAGGAACATAAAAAATGAATGCATCCCTTCTTTTTATTTATTTATTTACTACAATGCAAAGAAGTATTTAAAGGATGACAGGAAGATGTCAAAAGGACACAGAAGACAACCCTGGGGCGAGGGTGGTGGTGATGGTGGTGGTGGTTCCACTGGACAAATAATAGCCTATCAGGTAAAACAGGCAAACTTTAGTCTATACTGATATAAACTGACAACTGATTAGGAAGAGTATATTTACATTGCCTTAGAGTACCTTTCCCCAAAGACTCTTCTCCCCTGCTTTGTAAGTCCTAACTTCAGTGGAGATGCCTGATCAAGTGATCAAAGAACACACCACCAGTAATGCAGCAAATTGAAATTATGTCCCACCTGATACGATGCAATGAGGAAAAAAAGAACACAATGTTCCTGTCAAAGATATAATACATTACATCTAATCACAAGGAAACATCAGACAAACTCAAATTGAGGGAAATCCTAAGATAAATTGCCTATAATTCTCAAGTGCCAAGGTCATAACAGTCAAAGAAAAACTGAGAAACTGTTTAGGAGACTAATTTCTTAATTTTGACCACTGTATCCTGGTTGTGTAAAAGAAAAACATGCCAAAAGTGTCAGACCAGGTTAGCAATTTATTCCCAAATGCCTCAACAAATCAAAAGCTCTTTTTTTAAATCCTTACCTGAGGACATTTTTCCATTTGTTGTTCAGATAGAATGGGAGGGAGAGAGAGAGAGAGAGAGAGAGACATCAATGTGAAAGGGACACATCGAGTTGCTGCCACCTGCACAACCCAACCAGGGCCAGGGACAAACTGCAACCGAGGTACGTGCCCTTAGCGGGAATCGAACCCAGGTCTCTCTGGACCACAGGCCGACGCTCTAACCCGAGCCAAACTGGCCAGGGCCAAAAGCTCTTTGATTGTATCTGCAACTTTTCTAATTTTGTGATTGTCTCAAATTTTGAAATCATTATTTATTTTTGTTACAGATATTTCTCCTTTACCCCCCATTGACACCCTGCTCCCCACCCCTCCCTGCCCAGTCCCCAGCTTTGTTGTCCATGTCCATTGGTTATGCGTACATGCGTTTAAGTTCTGTGGCTTCTCTCTCCCCTCCCATCCTCTTTTGAGGACTGTCAGCCTGTACCCTACTTCCACATCTCTGGGACTACCCTGTTCCTCAGACTCTTATGTTCATTATATTCCACAAATAAGTAAGATCATGTGATATGTCTTTCTCTGCTTGGCTTGTTTTGCTTAGGATAATACTTTCCAGGTCCCTTGACGTTGTCTCAAAGATAAGAGATCTTTCTTGCCCTGGCCAGTTTGGCTCCGCGGTTAGAGTGTCAACCTGTGGACCAGAGTCCTGGGTTCGGTTCCCGCTAGGGGTGCGTACCTCGGTTGCAGTTTGTCTCCGCCTGGTTAGGGTCATGTGGGTGGCAACCACTGGATGTGTCTCTCACACATTGATGTGTCCCCCCCCCCACTCTATCTGAAGATAGATGCAAAAATGTCCTCAGGTGAGGATAAAAAGAGATCTTTCTTTCTTACAGCTGCATAGTACTCCATTGTATATATGTACCATGGCTTTTTTATCCATTCATCTAATGATGGACACTTGGGCTGTTTCCAGATCTTCGCTATTGTAAATAGTGCTGCTATGAACATGGGTGACATATATTTTAAAAATGGAGTAGGTAGCCCTGGCCGGTTTGGCTCAGCGGTTAGAGCGTCGGCCTGCGGTCCCGAGAGACCCGGGTTCGGTTCCTGCTAAGGGCATGTACCTCGGTTGCAGTTTGTCCCTGGCCCTGGTTGGTCGTGCGGGTGGCAGCCACTCGATGTGTCCCTTTCACATCGATGTTTCTCTCTCTCTTCCTCTCTCCCCCTCCCACTCTACCTGAACAAAAAATAGAAAAATGTCCTCAGGTGAGGATAAAAAAAAAAAAAAAAAATGGAGTAGGTAAAGGAGTGATAAGTGAAAGAAAAAAGGCATAGTTAATGATTACTGAAATTAAATGCAAGTTTTCATCAATCTTTTGTTTCATACTTATCATTGCTTAAGAATGTTGATAATTAGTATAATATTTGTGTGACAAATGGAAAACCCCACCACTTTAATATAGCTATTTTAATTTTCATAGTGTTACTTGAAATTTCAAAGATCACAGTACTTTGTATGTTGTTTTAAAAGAGCATTTCTTGCCCTGGCTGGGTGGCACAGTTAGTTAGAGCATCGTCCTATACACTAACAGGTTGCAGCTTCAATCCCCAGTCAGGCATGTATGAGAAGCAACCAATCAATGGTTCTGTCTCTCTCTTAAAAAAAAAATTATATAGATATACATATGTATGTGTATAAATATAAATAAAAAACATATCCTCAAGCCCGATCCATGTGGCATAGTGGTTGAGTGTTGACCCATGCACCAAGAGGTTGCCAGTTCGATTCCCAGTCAGTGCACATGCCCAAATTGTGGGCAAAATCCCTAATGGGGGGCACGGAGGAGGCAGTCAATCGATGTTCTCTCTCACTGATATTTCTATCTCTTTCTCTAAAATCAATAAAGAGAAAAAATAAAACAAAAATAACAAAATAAAACCAAAAACATACTCTCAGGTGAGAATTAAAAAAATAATAATAATATTAGCATTTCTTCTCTTTTGTTTTCATAATTTTAATTTTTACTCCACTATTTACTATACCATCACTCTGTGAGATAAGTAATTTTCCAACATTCTGCTATGATAAACATTAGAATTTAAAATAAATCTCTTTCTGAAAACTGTTCATCTTTTACTTTCCATATGTTTAATAGTTGGACAACTTCTATTTTTATACTTATATAGTCATGCTCTGCTTAACGACATAAATCAAGGAAGTACATCGCACATAGATGGTGGTCACACAAGATTATAATGAAGCTGAAAAATTCCTATCACTTAGTGACACGTTAAACGTCATAGTACAACATATTACTCGTGTTTGTGGAAATGCTGGTGTAAAAAGAACCATTGCATGCTAGTCGTATAAAACTATAGCACGTGCAATTTTGTACCAGTACATGATACTGGATAATGATAATAAACAACTATGATACTGGTTTATCTATTTATTCTATTTTTATTCTTTTAGAGTATACGCTTTCTACTTATTTAAAAAAGTTTGCTATGAAACAGTATGCCATGTTGATTGCACCATTTTCTTTTGTGACTGATTTAATCTTATGTTGTTTTATGAATTTAGTGTAGCCTAAGTGTACAGTGTTGATAAAGTCTACAGTGGTATACAGTGATGTCCTATAGACCTTCACATTCACTCACCACTCACTGACTCATCCAGAGCAACTTCCAGTTCCTACAAGCTCCATTCATGAGTACACTATACAGGTGTAACACTTTTTATCTTTTATACAGTATTTTTAAAGTACCTTTTCTATTTTTAGATATGTTTCCATGCACAATTACCTACAGTATTCAGTACATTAACATGTTTTACAGGCTTATAACCTAGGAGTAATAGGCTATACCATATAGTCTAAGTGTTTGTAGTAGGCTATACCATCTAGGTTTGTGTAAGAGCACCCTATGATATTTGCACAATAACAAAATCACCTAATGAAGTATTTCTCAGAACATATTCCCAATGTTAAGTGGCACGTGACTATACAAGCCTTTTATTTGTATCTTTTTTTTTTATTTTTTATCCTCACCCGAGGATATTTTTCCATTTTTTGTACAGATAGAGTGGGAGGGAGAGAGAGGAAAGGAGAGAGAGACAGAAACATCGACGTGAAGGGACACATCGAGTGGCTGCCACCCGCACCACCCAACCAGGGCCGGGGACAAACTGCAACCGAAGTACATGCCCTTAGTGGGAACTGAACCCGGGTCTCTCCAGACCACAGGCCGATGCTCTAACTGCTAAGCCAAACCAGCCAGGGCTATTTGTATCTTTTAATAGCATTTTTATTTTACAAATTTTTATATCAGGTGAAACAACTGTCAAATATTCCATTTCCAAAGCAGCATTATCTTTGAAAATATATAAATAATTATTTGAATAATTTATGTCATTGGTTTTTAAACTATGCTCTTGGGAAGCCAATTATATGTGGAAAACTGAGTACCACAATCCCACTTCAAACATGGCAGTTTATGTTATCTATGTACACTGGGCTCCCCAGTAAGATTTATTGGAATAAAGGGTTCTATTTCTTCAGCTTTGAAAACTTATTCAGACTTCCATCACTTTGAGCCCACAATGAAGTGAAAGGGGTGGTAGTGGTGTCAATCAATCAAAAAAGACTCAGAACTGACACAGGGGCCAGAATTAGCAAACGAGGAATTAAAACAGTTATTATAAATGTATGGTGCACGCGCACACACAGAGGTAAGGAGACTTGGAAGATAAAATACAACACTGTCCAACACAATTTCCTGTGATGATGGAAATGTTCCCTACCTATACTATCCAATATGATAGCCACTTACCTACACTGTCCAATATTGATAGCGACTAGCCACTTGAAATGTGCTTAGTGCAACTGAAGAACTACATTTTTTATTTTGAAATTTGTCTAGGAAAAGGCAACATTGTAGTGAAGTTCTAAGTGAAATAATGGTTCCCTTACTTCTTAGATTAAGATGATTCAATCTTATCAAAATTAAGCCTGCACAA